TTAAAGAAGATTCCATAATTTACTAAATCTAAAGCTACATATATTTTTTTCCAACAAAACTAGGTAATGTTATGTCAGTGTGTTCAATAAAGACACAAGATTCTACAGTATTTTTGGTAGTATATTTGGTAGTTTAATCCAATTTGCATTTATTAATATGTAATACTTAATACTTCCATGCTATTATTAGTACTTTTCAAATAGTACAAACTATTGGAATGTTTTCATCTTTATTTTCCTCCCCCTCCCCCAGAATATTGAAACTTGAAGTTAGAGGATACAAGTTTCTATGCAGGTAGAACCTGGAAAATTCCAAGTCCATTTATATTTTTATTTATGTTCTAAAAAAATATTACTTGAAAAAGTATGGATGCACAGTAAAACAATTGCCTGTATACAGAGTATAATAAGCAATAGTGTTTCATATTCAATTTTAGTATAGTAGGTTACATGAACCAAAGCAATTTGGATTATTTAATAATGATAGAAAAACCCAGTTAATAACTCACTAAGTATGGTTTCTAGTAAATATGCCTAATAGTTTCCTCTGCTTCCTTCCTATCAAATGGTACAACCATAACACATACACACACACACACACATTAAAAAAATGTTACAGAATTTCCAGTATTCTGATATTTTATTTCTTTGATAGTTATATCCTGCCTTTGTTATTTTTATAACTCAAGGCAGTGAACATATCCAACACAAGTTTCTCCTCCTATTTTCCTCACACCAACCCTATTAGGTGAGTTGGACTGAGACAGAGTGACAGGCCTAAGGTCATTCAGCTGACTTTCATGGCTATATTTGTAAATTGCCTATATGCATTAGAATTGAGACAGGAGATAAAGCACAAAAATAACTAAAAAATAAAATCCATGAAGATGATTATTGCCTAAAGGAGGTACTTTAAAGATGAGTTTCAAATGAACCAGGGATGTTTTCTAAGCCAGTAAGAACAAGCAGAAATGTTCCTTGATACATTACACAAGTAGTCCTCGAATTACTATTTGTTCAGTGATCATATGAAGTTATGATGGTGCTGAACAAATGGTAGTTACGGCTGGTTCCTGAAGTTACAGTTGCTGCAATGCCCCACTGTCACATGATCAAAATTCAGGTACTTGGCAATCATGGGGCAGTTCAACTCCCCCCACCTACCTATCTCCTCTATCTCTGCCCCTTTGGTAGCCCTGAACTCTGCTGGCTCAGCCAACTAGCTGGTGCCCTGCGTGCCCTCTGCCTACTGGCCCTACAGCCCTTGCCAAATAAACCTCAATAAAAATCCAAATAAAATCGCCATATCGAAATTAAAGCCACAATCATAATATTAAAATAATATAGCATGCACCATGTAGTAGAGCTTATCTAACATCTCAGATCAAATCCAAATTTTAAATTCTTGTTGAAATGGCAACAGGGTTGAGGCTATCTGATTCTTATGGGATACGATATTCTATATGGCAGGTGCTGCAATAGAGAAGGTACTTCCTAGCTCCCAAACAACATGGAGGTTGCTTAAAAGAGTTTCCCCCCTTTCTTGATTTGTACTTTTCAGAATTACTTAAAGGTTTTATGATTGTTCTCTCCCCTCAGCCTTTTATTACTGATTTGCCATTTTCAATGTTAAGAAAAAGATTCTGTATATTCTAATTATGATTTTCAGATGAGTTAACCACTGAAATAGAATTACACCAAAAGAATATTTAAATATAATACTAATTAATCAATATGAGGCACGCTATATAAGAGACTGTAAAATCATTTCATTGTAGATCTGTTCACAGTTGGAAGAATTTAAGGGCATCTCAGAAAAAGAGATTTCCCTTGTGGAAACTTGCTTTGCTTTTCCAGGTTAATACCTGAAATGATATGCTGTTAGCATACAGATCACACACAAACAAATCTATCAACACACATATATTAAAAATGTGTGTGAATAATGTGAAACCTCTCAGATTTACAACGGTGATATACAAAGATAATAAATACATCTGACACCATAATATGAATGTCATCATTTTTTAACCTAACACAACTTCAGAAAGATCACAAAGAAATGCATGGAACAGGAAAAGACATAGGTGTTATCACAGAAGTCAGGGCACTGGTTACTGTAAGCTTCTGGACCAAATTCAAAATGCTGGTGATTACTTACAAAGCACTATATGGTTACATCAAGGACCACCTTGTTAAATTTGAATCTGCCTATCCAGTAAGAAACTCACATGGCCTACTAGAGTTTACAAAAAGTGATTGGGATATGGATCAGGCAGCAGATTCCTTGTGTGTCCAATCATACTTGGCCAATAAAGAATTCTATTCAAGAATGTATTTTGAAACTCTTCACCTCCAAAGTTCAATCAACTTGTCTCCTAATATTTCATTAGGAAAACATTATTTCATCCTGCTTTTAAGCAGGGTTGAATATTTTGGATAGCTGTTGCTTTTAGTCAGTATTTTTAGCCTAGATACTGGTTCTATCCCCCATTTTAACTTTGTTTTCTAAAGTATGCCCTTTATTGTAAGATATAGCAGTAAAAGTACAGGTAGTCCTCACTTACTAACCACAAATAAAACCAGCAACTCCATCATTATGCAACATGGTTATAAAGTGAAAAATCACATGGATGTGTCCAACCTATGTCACTTGTGGCTGCAGTTAAGCGAACCACTTAGGTTAAGTACATCATCATGTGAATGCAACTTGCAATTTCTGCTGGCTTCTCCATTGACTTTACTTGTTGAAAGTTGGCTGTGAAAGTCGCAAATTGCAAACATGTGACCATACAAAGCTGCAATTCTTGTAAATAGGCACTTGTTGCCAAGCATCTGAATTATGATCATGCAATGTCCTTTTACAGTACCATAACTTTGAATGGTTGCTGAATGAGCAATCAATAAATGAGGAATACTTAATAAATTAATATTTTGTGTTATTTTTGTACCACTGTTTAAGAAATACATGAATTATCACCAATGTCAAATATGGTCCAACCACACTCCCAAATGTCAATTTCCTACTATTCAAAAAAAGAAAGAACCCCACATAAAATTATCATATACTTTAACACTAAAATAGTCATTTTTCCATTTTAGATCATTTCAAGTTTGTAAATAAAAATATTCTGTGCATGCTTCAAAAACCATACAGAACATGTGCACAGCACTGCTCTAGTATTAAGGTAGCTTGACTATTCTTTGAGCCTCAACTGTATGTGTGTGTGCTGTTCCATGAAAGAGTTGACTTATTAAAGTTAATGCAACTGTTAATGAAATAGCTGTTTAATGAAAAAAGAAGTGTGCTGTGTTCAGAAGAGATCTAAATGTAAATATCTGCCTATTTGCTTTCCCCCCAATCTTAATTTATTTAGTTACAATTTATTATTGACCATTCTGAGAGGTTTTCTAAACTGAACAGTATGGAAAATGCTTTGTATAAATCGAACATTCACTTTTAGTAATATCAGAATGAAAAATAAGCATCAAAATCACCATTGCTCCTCAATGACTAATGAAGGCAGGATTACATAATTGCACTGTTTAAGTTGCCAAATTTAGTTTAATGCATCTTTCATGAATAACTATAGCTGCTATACATAAGCTACATGATTATATTTGGACATTCTGTCTACTCAAAAAAAAATTACAGTATACTTCATTATGCATGAACCAGGCCTAAAAATCAACCTTCTACCAGCTACAATGTCCCTTATACTCTGGATTTCTCTTATAATTCTTTACCGGGTCTGCTTGGAGAAAGTTGGCTAAATCCATAAATCACTACAAAAAATTACATTTCCCAGGAAAATACAAGAATCTAGAACACAGAACTGCCAAGAATATTTTAGCCATCCCCTTCACATGGTATTTTTTTAGTTTGCAGGAACTCATTGGCTTTAGCTTTGTACATACTTGATAATGTCAGGCTTTATTATAATGTCAGGCTTTATTATATCTTTTTCTGATATTAACAAAATGAATAACGCCTAGTTTGTGGATACATACACCTTCAAGTACAGCCACTTTAATAGGCAACCACTGCTTCTTAGGAAAAGCAAATATATGGAATCCAAAAGATTTAATTTCCACATTACTATATCTGTGTAAACAGATCAGATGGCAATTTACTCCAAGAGGAAATAATAATAGACACTAATCTCAACCGCAGCACCATAAACTGTAACAGTGCAAATAGGTAAAGTAATAAGAAAAAAAAAAATCAAGCCTGGAAACGCTGAAACAAGAGACTGCATTTTCTCCATATTATAGCTAAGATGCTGAGGCCGAAAGAAAGTAGATTGCCTGAATTCATGTTAATGTTGGAAACTATATTAAAAAGTCTATGCATTCATTTCAATTTTCCAGTAACTCTATTCTAAACCTTTGTGTTTGTCCATTAACTGTTCAATCTCCAAGGAATGACACTTTTGTTGGAGCACCTTAAGCTAAAAATCGGCAAGAGGAGTGTTTAGCTTCGCTATATGTAATGGGAGATTAGACATGAACTTTTCAAGCGTGGCAGTTTTGAGGTCTAGCCTGGGAGCCCCTTATCAGGGCGTTGTCAAGCTCCGTCACCATTTTTTTTAACCTCACCGAAGCATTCGCCTAACAGCTTCTCTTTCAGGCCTAAAAAAAAACAACCCACTAACCACTCCCACCCCCTCTTTTTATCCTTCATGTCCACCTGGTTGGTAACGGCGTTGCTACTCCCAACGAAATTACAATATTGGGATAGTTACAGCCAGCGGCTTGACTGGAACCCCGGGCATAGCTACAGCTGCCGGTGTAGGCCTTACCAACCAGGCCGGCGTCAAGCTGCGGGCGGTCCCCAAGTTGAGCGCCTCCCCCTTCCTTGAGCAGTCACTACCACGTCGGCGCGGCCAACACTGCGGAAATGGAGCAGCCGAGGCGGGCGTTGCGCAGGCGGGCTTGGCCCTCAGGACGGGCTTCCCCATTCCGCAGCGGCTCTTTTCCCCCTTTGCTTTTTTTCTCACCTGTGTCCCCGATTATGATGTACTTGAAGAGATACGCGTAGGCCATGGCTTTCCGATCGCCGCCGCTTCACCCGCCTGCCTTCTCCTTTAGACTGTCGCTCCTCTGTGGCGTGGCGTGGCGTGACACCCCCTCCGCCCTTCTCTGGCAGAGCTCGCGCTACGTAAGATTTGGAGCCGTTAAGCGACACCCCCCTCCCAGCACGACTTCCAACTACCCTTCTCCCTTTCGAACCGGCCACCGGCAACCTCTCACGTCGGCCTCCTCGGCTGTACCGGCGCGCGCGCCCCTTTCCTTTTTCTTTCCCCTCCTTTTCTTCGCCGCGTCTTCAAAGAGGCTCGTAAACGTCCCGGAGGCGCGAGATGGGAGCGACCGAGGGGGAGGGGGCAGGAACAATAACAGGCAGAAAAGGCTCCTACACGGTTCGGCAACGTCACGAAGCCCTCTTCGCCGACCCGGAAGCGTTCAGACCTCCGGTGCCTCTTCTTCGCGTCTGAGCAGAGGGAGGGAGGGAGGAGCCTTGGAAGGGACACAGAGGCGGAGACTTAATAGCTCGGGGCGGGGGGAGGGGAGGTGTCTTTGAGAACGAGGCTTCGTGTCTGAATCACGTGAGAAGGGAGGACGCGGAATGGCCGCGAGAAATAATGGGATCTTTCCGTAGCAAATGATGGGGAGCTAAGAGAGACGCTTGACAAGGCTCCTCTCTGTTGAAATCACTGCAGAACTGAAAGTGAACTTAACTAAAGCGCGGAATGTATTATGAAAACAAGTGGAATGGGTCAATAGAAATAACTGACTTGTGATAGAATAGAAAATTTCAGGGGTAGTCAACCTTGGCTCTTTTATGACTCGTGGACTTCAATTCCCAGAATTCCTGAGCCAGCTTAGCTGGCTCAGGAATTCTGGGTATTGAAGTCCACGAGTCATAAAAGAGGCAAGGTTGACTACCCCTGGAATAGATTGTACTGCTTTGTGAATGGATACCGTGTAAAATGATAGGCAATTTGAATTGAAGGGCTGGAATGGGGCTGAGATAAAAGCCGTCACACGAATGGCAGGAACAACAGGCTTGTTGTGGGAAAAATAGGAGGAAGGTGTGTTGGATATGCTTGCCGCCTGCCTTATTTGTAAAAATTTATAAAGGCAGGATATAAATAAGCAAATAAAGTACAAGGGTGACTGGAGTAGGAGCAGGAATCTACTTGTGTAAAACACAATGGTACAAGACTGGAATAGTAGTTCCTGTAAGTACTGTAGGGTAGATTAATGGCAGGAATGATGGATCCTGAGGAAAAAAAGGTCAGCCCAAGAAAGATGGCAGAAAGATGCTCTTAAAGGAGAAAAGATCAGGCACTGGAATTACTATCCCCAGAAGTAGGAGGAACTGGCATCATTCCTAGGACTGGAATGAATAATCAAAATAATAGAGCAGACCAAGAACAAGAAAAACCTGCTTCCTAAGCCCATATGGGCCTGGCATGTAATTGGAGAGTAAACTTTTGAAAATGGGCAGAAACTTCCTATTCACAAGCATTTTCATTCCTATTTAACCTTTCTGGGACTGTCATTCTAGTCATGTGTTTCCTATTTTCAAGACTCAGCATTATGCCATTCCATACCTCTCTATTATTCTGCTCTCTACTTAGCTTTGCCTCTTAAGATGCAGGAATGTTGTTCCAATGTATTTCATTGTATTTCAGTTATCTGGAATGGTAATTTCAGACTTGTGTGTGTTGCATTATGATATTGTAGACTCTTGATCAAGTGGCTTAGGCATACACATCTCTTTGAGAACAGGTTTAAATGCCTCTTCTTTACACATACATATACTTAGAGTAGAAAAACTGTTTGCCAATATACCAGTATCTTTATTCAAAAACATTGCATGTCAATATAAATGAATTAAATAGCTGTACTTCTCTCTTCTCCATAATATAAACATATAAACTTATAAAAAGCAAAAATACTTAATTCCTGAGACAAATACTAGTAGTTATTGCCCTCTCTTACATGTTAAGGAATATATACATTGGAAATGGTTTATTTTTCCTGCTCAAAACACTGCTTTGTGCAATAATAACATAGAGGTAGGCTTACATTTAGAAAGTTGTTTCCTACAATACCAACATAAAGTTTATATAGTTCCTTTAACTTACAATTACTAGTAATTTGTCCCTGTTGTCAGTTTTATAAAACAGAGGAATACTGGCTTGACCTACATTTGATATTATGGCAGTTTTAATCAGGGCTTTTTTTGTCATAGAACACCCAGAACGGAGTTCCGGCACCTTTTTTGGATGGAACCTTGTAGGGTAGGCAAGGCGGGTTGTATGACGTGTGTGAGTTCCGGCACCTTTTTTTTTTTTTTTTTTTTTTACAAAATACTGGTTTTCATGAATATATTCTGGGCCCAGTGCTCTTCAACATCTTCATCAATGATTTGGATGAGGGGAAAGATGGGGAACTCATCAAATTTGCAGACACCAAGCTGGCAGGAATAGCCAACACTCCAGAAGATAGGCTTAAGATGCAGAAGGATCTTGACAGACTTGAACATTGGGCTCTAACAAAATGAAATTCAATGGTGAAAAAAGTAAGGTTCTACATTTAGACAAAACCAAATCAAAGGTACAGTATAGGTCAGTGGTGGCAAACCTATGGCATGGATGCCAGAGGCGGCACTCAGAGCCCTCTCTGTGGGCACGCGCGCCGTTGCCCCAGTCCTAGGCCTTCAGCTGGGTTTTATAAAACCTTTTCGCTTTAGGCCTCCGCTGCCATGTGCAAAAAAAAAAAAAGGTTCAATCTGTCAATTTCAACTTCTCACAAAAAAAGATCTTGCAAAGTTGGAATTGATTTTTTTTTTTCAATATAAAATTTTTATTGTTTTCCAAAAAAGAAAAAAACATCACAAGTATTACACAATATTATAATATATCCCACCCCCCCGGACTTCCCAAACCAAATCCCAGGCTAATATTCAAATATAGGTAAACAAATATTAATATCTCTAACTCCACAAACTCTATTTATAAACAATCCATCTCCTCCAC